CGCCCTTTTCTCTGGATTGCCCGAGCAGATGCTATAGCACAGCAAGCATGGAGCCTGTTCAGCTCACTGCAGCAGTTATGACCATTGTAAACACCTCGCGCATTATCCTGCACTATGTGCAGAACCAGCATCTGAAAAACCAGGCGAGGAGGCAACGGAAGCATGGTGATGAGGACATGAACACAGTTTTCTCTAAAACCGCGGTCCCCAGCAATTTGGAGATCATGGTGTTACTGGGGCAGGCTCATGCCTTGGAATGCTGATTCTGGGCCCGGGAAACAAGCACAGACTGGTGGGACTGCATAGTGTTGCAGGTTTGGGATGATTCCCAGTGGCTCTGAAACTTTCGCATGCGTAAGGGCACTTTCTTGGAACTCTGTGACTTGCTTTCCTCTGGCCTGAAGCGCAAGAATACCAAGATGAGAGCAGCCCTCACAGTTGAGAAGCGAGTGGCGATAGCCCTGTGGAAGCTTGCAACGCCAGACAGCTACCGGTCAGTCGGGAATCAATTTGGAGTGGGCAAATCTACTGTGGGGGTTGCTGTGATGCAAGTAGCCAACGCAATCATTGAGCTGCTGCTTTCAAAGGTAGTGACTCTGGGAAATGTGCAGCTCATAGTGGATGGCTTTGCTGCAATGGGATTCCCTAACTGTGGTGGTGCGATAGACGGAACCCATATCCCTATCTTGGCACCGGAGCACCAAGGCAGCCAGTACATAAACTGAAAGGGGTACTTTTCAATGGTGCTGTAAGCACTGGTGGATCACAAGGGACATTTCACCAACATCAGTGTGGGATGGCCGGGAAAGGTTCATGATGCTCACGTCTTCAGGAACTCTGATCTGTTTAAATGGCTGCAGGAATGGATTTACTTCCCAGACCAGAAAAAACTGTTGGGGATGTTGAAATGCCTATAGTTATCCTTGGGGACCCAGCCTACCCCTTAATGCCCTTGCTCATGAAGCTGTACACAGGCACCCTGGACAGCAGTAAGGAGCTGTTCAACTATAGGCTGAGCAAGTGCAGAATGGTGGTAGAATGTGCATTTGGACGTTTAAAGGTGCACTGGTGCAGTTTACTGACTCGCTCAGACCTCATCGAAACCAATATTCCCATTGTTATTGCAGCTTGCTGTGTGTTCCACAATCACTGTGAGAGTAAGGGGGAGACGTTTATGGCGGGTTGGGAGGTTGAGGCAAATCACCTGGCCACTGAATATGCGCAGCCAGACATCAGGGCGGTTAGAACAGCACAGCAGGAAGCGCTGCGCATCAGAGAAGCTTTGAAAACCAGTTTCAGGACTGGCCAGGGTACTGTGTGACACTTCTGTTTGTTTCTCCTTGATAAAAATGCTTGGTTGCCTCTAAATTCCCTGTAAGCCACCCACCCTCCCCCCTTCGATCACAGCTTGCTTGCAAAGGAAATAAAGTCACTATCTTTTAAAAAACATGTATTCTTTATTAATTGATTATAAAATAGGGAGGTTTCAGAGTAGCAGCCGTGTTAGTCTGTGTTCGCAAAAAGAAAAGGAGGACTTGTGGCACAAGTGCTCCTTTTCTTTTTGAAAAATAGGGAGATAACTCACAAGATAGCCCAGGTAGGGTGTGGGAGGAGGGTAGGAGGGAAGGAAAAGGCCACTTTAAAACTTCTTGAATGATAGTCTTTTATTGCTTGGGCTGTCCACTGGGGTGGAGTGGTTGGGTGCCCGGAGCCTCTTCCCCTCCCCCCCCCACGCGTTATGAGGCATCTGGGTGAGGAGGCTATGGAACTTGGGGAGGAGGGAGGGCGGTTAAACAGGGGCTGCAGCGGCAGTCTGTGATCCTGGTGCCATTCATGAACCTCCAGACTCCGGAGCATGTCCGTTTGATCCCGCAGTAGCCCCAGCGTTGCCTCATGCCTCCTCTGATCTTTCTGCCGCCACCTCTCCTCACGTTCATTGGCCAGTTTCCTGTACTCTGCTATTGTGTCCCTCCACACAGCTCTGTCAGTGCCGTGTCATTAAACATAATGATTTGTGTCCTCTGTAGTGGAGGTACAGACCCTGGTATAGCTGTGTTGGTAGGGTTAGACCTGGTGTCATGTGTATCAGACACAAACCTGCTGTAGCCCCGTGCAGTTAGAAAAGCTCCAATGTCATCTCTTTATCAGAGGTGCAGGTCCTGCCAAAACATCCCTGGGACTCCACATCCCACCAGGCCTCAAGCACACAATTAAGGGGATCATGTGAACAAAGGGACTTTCAATACCCTCTGTCTTTTAAATGCTCTTGTTTTCTTCTAACAGGCCACCTTGAATTTCCCCAGCCATTCTTGCTGACCACAAACCAATGGGAACTGAACTTGTCAAGGTAACGTACAGACACTAACAGCTGACTGATCAGAGAGCACATCACAATACAACCCCTCTCCTCCTCCTTTTCATTACATGATCATTTATGGTCTATGGGAGCATGTCTTAGGTGCAGCTGTACAGCCCTGGGCCAGCTGTTACCGCACTGTATCTACGTATCTCAGATGCAATAATATCACAGGATGTGTGTGGTTGTGGATTTACACATCAACAGGCCAACATCCGCCTGAGGCAGGAAGCTTCAGCACAGGACAGCTGCACGCGCTGGACAGTTCTATGCCAGTTGTTTTGTCAAAGGAAACACTATAGGCCAGATTCAGCCACTCTTACTAATGCTGAGTAGTACCTTGCTCCAGGGCTAGTCCCAGTCATTCCAATGGGATGACTCAGAGTGAAGCATTGCACAAGGTGAGTGAAGGTCGCAGGGTCTGGCCCTTTATCAGCACTTGCATCCAGGAGAGTTACTTATCGATACAGTCCCAGTCTTTAGTTCACATTATGCTGAGATCATTCTGCAAGTGGAGTGTAAATCCCTATCAGAGTGATCCCTGCTGTTACAAGGTGACCCAGCCCTTTCACCCTCTCCTTGTGGGTGTCCCTCCCAGGTGAGACTGGAGGTGCGCTTTGCTGCAGGAGCAGTTAAAGTGCAGGAGAAGCACTTTGTGAATGAGGGTGTCACCTGCAGCCTGGTTCCCCTGCTTCTGCTCCTGCAGGACCAGGTCCTGAGCTGGTTAAGGTAAGTCCCACTGTCGTTATCTCCCCAGCATGACAGACCCTCACTGCACAGCTTCTCCCGCTAGCTTGATCTTCAGATGTACTTTCCATAGCAACATCCCTTACCTCACCCACGTTCTCCTGTGTGGATGGACAGTACAGAGGAGTGGGTATTTCCTGGCTTCCATCAGTCACTTCCAATGCAGCTATTATGAAAGAGGTCCAAATGTCCATTAATGGCACCAGTGGGGACCCTGAAGGCCTGGAGACGTCTGCACCAGATGGTCCCGCAAAATTCCACCTTAGACACTTGGCTTTTCATTGTCATTTATTAGCTGGACAATATTCACTGTTTTCTATTCTCCATTGTGCAACCCTTCCTCATCTCACCTTGATTTCTAGGCATCTAAAGAGGCCAGCTAGAGATGTGGGTGAATTCTTGGGGTAGTGACTGCATCAGCGTAAGTGCAGATGGGACAGCTGGTGCAACCGTCCCAAGATTCTGGGCAAAGTCTGTGAGGACCTTGTAAGAAAGCCAGTTCTCTGTCACTAGCTTTTAGTACGTCGGTTATGGCTCCGGGATGCGAATATTGCCAGGAACAGGTTAACTGAAGAGGTTTCTGTGCTCATTAGTCAGTATTGGACCCCTGATTGCAGCAGCTGAAGCTTTGAAATTACTGTTTAAATAGTCCCCGGTGCATGCCAGGGTTGTGTGGTTTCCACAAGGTGAAATCTGTGCTGTTGGAGGGAGAGGCCTTGTCCCCAGCATGGAGCTGGATGTGAACTTTCCTTATATTATCCAGACTGGAAGCAGGGGGAATCGGCACATGTGTTGGGCCTGTGCATTCCACTACAGGAACCTGATCATCTTTGAAACGGAGATTATTCTGTGCTGCATAACACCCACGATGGGAGGATCTGGGTGGAGGGAATAGCCAGGGAAGAGGCTCCCAAGCTGGCAGAGTGGTTCATGCCCATAAGCCCCTGACGGGTTGAAAGGATGGAGGAGTACAGAGTCATAAAGGCAGGTGCATGCCTCAATGCAGCTCTTCCCCAGACCCACCTTACACAGGTAAGACAGAGATTGCTGGGGCTGAGCGATGGAGGTGGGGCCCAGCCTGAACCAGCCCTCTTCCTGGCATCCCTCCCTGGGCCCCCTGTGCTGGGCTGTCCCTCCTGCCCTCTGGGGTACTAGCACCCATGTGGTGACTCCCTGAGCTATGTGTGCCTGGTAAGAAAGATATTCCAGGGAGGAACCAGACCAGGGGCCAGAGAAATTCCAGGTGACAGGAGCAAATGCAAGGTCCAGCCTCAGGTGGGACCCTTGGACGCTGATGTTGTCATCAGGCTGCTCACTGCAGTGTTCACTCTGGACATCTTTCCCTGTACTGATCAGCCCTTTGCTCTGGCACCCTCCTGCGTTTCTCTCACAGTTCACCTCAGCCTTCCTCTGGCTGCCCTTCCTCTAGTCCCCTCCCCTCCATGACCCCTCACCCTTCCTTTGTGTTTCTGTTTTAGCTAGTCTCCTAACTAAGCCCTCCCCAAGGATTAAAAATAACCTCCCACCCTCCAAAAACCAGTTGTAGCATTACAATGCCATTTGCCAACCATCCTCTGCTTACTCTGCTTGTAGGTTATGCGCCGTTCCCCAGCCCTTGCTCTGTTGTGTCTGGTTAGGCTGTAAATGTAACGAGCAAGAGGGTTGCTGACTGAAGTTATACTATGTAGGACTAATTTACTCTCCCCTTTTTCCTTCACGTCAGCTTACGTCTGTGCTGAAACACAGGTCAGAGAGTTTGGTTTGTTCATTACTTGTCAGCAAAGTGTTACCCAGCATTAAACCTCAGAGCTGTGGTATGCAAAACCCTGAATGTAGGTGTTAATAGCTGCCTGTCAGCGTTGGAGGGAGAGGGAGAGAGAGAGACTACCACACAATGTCTTAGGGAGCAAATATTTAATACATACACAAACATTTGCAAACAGATTTTGGAAGACTTTTGAGTAACTTCTTAACCCAAGCTATTAGCCAGTAAGCCTACTGGTGTTCTTTATACAGACTTCCCCACTTTGTTGCTATCATATGTTTCAATACGTGGGTTCATAGATTCCAAGACCAGAAGGGACCATTGTGATCATGTAGTCCAGTGGTTCTGAACCCGTGGGCCACTTGCAGCCCAATCAGCACACAGCTGCGGTCCATGTGACACCCTTAGGGCCATATAGGTAGTATTGGATGTGGCCCACAATGATAAATAGGTTGAGAACCACTGATCTAGTCTGACCTCCCAACACATGCAGACAGGTTCCTCTCTGATCTTCTCAGTCTCTATAGTGTAGTCTCACAGTATGTGTATGTACTATTGACCTGGAATGACATTCCCCAGGGGTACCCTGGATTATCAGGCACCTCACAACCACTTGCCTTTCGCATAGGGTTGCCAATTTTGGTTGGACATATTCCTGGAAGTTTCATCACAGGACATAATCTTTAATTACAGATTAATCTGTAATTCCTGGAAACTCCAGGACAATTTGAAGGGTTGGCAACACTACCTTCACAGGAGACAGCCTTGTCTGTGCCTGCTGTGGATCAGCTCCCTGAATCCACTAGCCCCTGCCAACACAAGCCCTGCCTTCCAGGGCCCCGCAGGCCTGGCTCTGTCTGTAGAGGTAGCGCTAGGCACACATCAACCCCCGATTCCTCAGATCATTCCCTGCAGCTTCCAGCCCCTGAACCAGTGCACACTCCAGAGCCACCAGGCCTGTTATTCCCAAAGGGACAGTACCCACCCGCTTGTAAGATTCAGCTCAGCACCAGCACTTTGCACAGCACTTAGACAAACTTATTCTTGTTTTCAGTATAAATATATTATCAAAGTTTAGAGATCCAGGTAACAGTGAGTGAGAATACTGGGAACAGGTGGTTACATGTAAAGCAAAATCATAACACGCTTTCAAGAGACTAAATTTAACTAAGAGATTAACTTCCTGTCTAAAGAAGTTTGATCTCACTCAGTGTTCTCTTCAGCTTTTTTCCATCAAGCTTGTAGCTTCCCCCATGAAAGGTGCTCAGGCATCTTCTCTGCCCCACAAATACAGTCAAGCAAACCTTCAAAGTGCTCCCCCCAGATAAGGTTCCCTTCCCCCTTCTAGTCTTCTCTTCCCGTTAGATATGTCTGAAGTCCCCCTCCCCACAGCATCCTTCATTTCCATACAGTTCAGGCTTGATAGGAAGCCCATTGAGAATCAGACAATACTCAGTTTACATGTGAACAGATGGATAAATAACACACACATCCCCGCGTTGTCCGACAGAAAACCTGTTTGCACCGGTGCTGGTGTGCTGAAGAGAAACCAGAAGATTTAGCCAAATTAATTTTAAAGTCCGAGAAGGAGCCACCAATAGTTCTAAGATTGCCTGCTCATAACTGGATTTAGCAAGGTCAGAGGTAAAGAGAAACCAAGCTTAGAAATGTCATGCTGATTTTATCCTTTGATAGACTGTAAGAGTTCATAAAGGAGCTCACAGATACCTTGCTTATGGTGGTGGTGACATATTTTAGACTTGTCCTGGAAGATTTCAACATGCATATTGACTCTTGCCTCTCTATGATTCTCACCTCTTTGGGCGAATCCACACAGCCAGTCGCACCTTGGACCTGATCCTTGGTTTAGATGTCAATATGGAGGACATCACAGCCCAAGCCCTATCTTAGATCATCACCTCATGAAGATAGTGGTCAGAGCTCTCCCACTTTCCGTGAAAGACCCACAAGTCTGATTTGACCACTAAGACCCCACCAAATTCCAAAGCGTGCCAATAGGACAGCAGCAATCCACGCAAAAGACAAGGAGTCGAGGATCTGGTGAATTATTACCCTTGTGCACTATCCTCAATGCATTGGCCCCTAAACTGCCCCTTCCTCCCTATCACCCATAGATCTCTATGGTTTTCTGACACCCTGTGCCAGACAAAGAGAGAGGGGTAGAAACGGGAGTGTCGATGATGGGAAAACAAAAGCTGAAACAGACAGAAGGAAGCAAAGACTTTCTTCAAGCCTAGGCAGAACCCAGCACTAAGCGCTGTGAAGAACTGTCATCCCACTTCATGGAGAAAATCCTGCCCATTGAAGAAGGCCACGACTCAGATTGTTCCTGAGGGTGCTGTGGGCATAGCAGCGGAGCTGAAGGTAAATGATCTACAAGGTGGTGGGAGGATGAGGCAACTTGGGGAGATATTGAGCACAGTGCTTTTATTTTGCAATGCTGTAGCTTGGTTCACTTATGTAAATGAAGTAATGTATATGCATAAAATGGAAACATTGAAGAGGGCTCCTCCCAGAAGGACAATGCATATCTTCACCAACACGGGTTGGTGCTGGGTGGTCCAATGGTTGGAGGGCTAACCTGGAACTTGGGAAACTGGGATTCAATTTCCTTCTCTGCCTGAGGGCTGGTCTACACTGCGAAGTTGTTGACAACATTTTGTCTTTCATGGGTACTTGGAAAAGCCCCCCCCCCCCCCCCCAGTGAAAGACAAAAGTTTTGCCAACGCAAGTGGCAGTGTGAACGCAGCTTTGTCGGCAGGAGCACTCACTGGGCTGGACGTAAAGTGCTGACAAAGTACTGAAAAAGAGCATTTACACACGCTGACTTTTAGCAACAAGGCTGTGTTGACACAGCCTTGTCGCTAAAAGCTGCATGGTGTAGACAAACCCACAGACTCTGTGTGATCTGGGGCAAGTCACTTAGCATCTCAGTTCCCCGCCTGTAAAATGGGGAAACCAATGGGTGTTGCGAGGCGAAGTAAATAATTAAAGATTGTCATGTGCTCAGATACTTTGGAAGCAGGAGTTCATGTAAGTACCACAGGTAGGTAGACAGGTGCATGCAGCTAGTGTGGACAAAGGCAGTTTTACTCCATCTGTAGAGCTCTTCTTTCTTTCTTTCTTTCTTTCTGAAGCCATCTCTTCCCATCAACACTGGGACGTGCACACTAGCAGGACAGGCTGAGTATTTTGTACACATAATAAAACAAAGCCACTCTGAATAGAAACCAGTCTTTCTCCTACCCTTTAAGATTACTTCTTGACGTATTTTATGTAGACAGGGGGAACTCTTTTACAGCTGTTTGTGGGGGGTGTTTCAAAAGTCGTGTTTTCATAAATGGTATCTGTTTAAAAAGCAGAAAATAAAACATGAGTCTCCAAGATGACTCTGCATGGATCAAGCAGCTTCCATGTGTGATACCAGGTGAGCTTCGGGGCAGATCATGAAAAAGTGATAGCACTACCATCACATTTGATAACCAGATATGGCCAAAACCTGAGGAAAGGGGCTTATTAAATACCAGAGTGAACCCTACCATCAACTTTTTGTTTGCTCCAGAGGTGGTAGCAGAACCAGTGGGGTAAGGAGTGCGCTGGAATATCTGCGGCTGGTATGGAGCAGAGTGTAAAAGTGTATCTCTGTGTCATGGCTGCTCTGCCCCTCTCTGGCACCTCCTGTCATATCAAAGGCTTGCCAGCAGCAGGATGGGGAATAAAGCTATCCAGGATGGTAATCCGCAGCAATTTGGGGGATTTTAAATCTACCAAGTCTCCCTCTCCAGAGATTTGTATTTGATGCCCTGAAAAAAGTCTACAACATTTGAAAAGTGGCTGTTTCTGCATCTGAAACATGCAGAGGTTTCAATTTTGAAGGGCACATTTCAAAACCACTTTTTACTCAGGAGCGTAAAGTGGGCATTTCTCAGCGCTCTGCTCCACCCTTGTGTGTGTAGCAGAAGGCACAGAGACTCCTGATTTGGGCAGTTTTGCAACTTCGTTGCAGATGTTTTGCACATTTTAGATAAAACCTGCTTCCTAGCATTAGCTCTCTTGAGGTACTGCGGTGGAGCCCGGCCCTTCCTGAATGGCTGGGAAAGATAGGATGTGGGCAGGGCCGGCTCTAGGCACTCTTGGGGCGGCACATTTCTAGGGGCGGCATTCCGGCCCCCGCCGCCCCAGCTCCCCTGAGCGCGCCGCCGACGCTCCGCTTCTCCCCGCTCCCTCCTTCCCAGGCTGCCGCGGTTCTGCGCGGCAAGCCTGCGAGGGAGGAGAAGCCGAGCGGCGGCGCGCTCGCGGGAGGGGGCGGCGGTGGAGCGGAGGTTTCTCTACCCCAGTTACTCCCTGCGCCCCCCCGCCGCTCTCCCTGCTCCCGTGAACGCGCCGCCGCTCCCTCGCCTGGGGGGGGGGGGGAAGCGGAGCGGCGGCGCGTTCAGGGGAGTGGAGGTGAGCTGGGGCAGGACGGCGGGGGGAGGCGCGCAGGAAGTAATGGGGCGGCACGCCAGGGGGAGGAGGCGGGGCCGGGGATTTGGAGAAGGGGTTGGGGAAGGGGCGGAACCCGGGAGGGGGGCACGAAAAAAAAAAGCGGGGGCGGCCAAAACTTTTTTTGCTTGGGGCGGGAAAAGTCTTAGCGCCCGCGTTGGATGTGGGATTCTGCTCAGGGAAGAAGAAGAAGTTAACCCTCCGCTAAACACAGGTGCTCAGGGGGTGAACTATGAAGAAGTGCTTGGGAGGCAGAAGTGGCAAACGGCTGTGGGAAGTGAGGCTTTACACGCCCACAGTCATGGGACTAAGACCTGGGCTGTGGGTTTCCTCTTCCTGCATTTTTTTTTTTTTTAACTTGCGTTAACTGTTCTCTGGTTATCAGCATTATCCTTGTGTTTCAACTGTGCTGGCTATGGGCCTCCTCTCCGCAGCCTTGCGGCTTGTGCAAAGCAGGGTGAAAACACCTCCAAATCAGAATGCTTCCCTGATTCCCCGTGGGAGCAGCGTTTTTCATCGCTTTCCTATCAGCCTTGTGCCTCACCTCCCGCTTGCATGGTGAAAGGCATTGCTGAAACTTCAAAAATCTGCATTTATTTGGCAAGCTAAAGTGTAACCAGTCCCTGCATTGGCTCCTTAGAAAAGAAAAAAATGACTGCATCAGGAATATCTAATTACACTTTTCTTTGCACACAGATGCTTCTATGCAAGCCTTGTAATGGCTGATGGAAGGCAAAGGGGAGGGAAGCTTGGCAGTTGAGGGGCAAGGTGGAGGTACTGGTACCTGACTGGCCTTTGGAGCTGCTTTTCCTGGTCCTTTTCACCCAGCTGAAGATGTAGAAGATGACAATAGCGTAGCCCAGATAGCCAGGGTACCCGTAAATGCCATAGCTCCACCAGGGTGAGACACCTGGTTAGGGTTGACAGAAACACAGAATGCAAACAAAACATCTTCAGGGTAAATGATCCAAAGTGCTTCACAAAAATGTCTCCAGGTTTGAACCTTGTGGTTGCAGTGACACCTGGGTTTTTTTGGGGGTGTGTGAGAGAGAAACTGTAACCGGGTTGCCACTTCATGAACAGTCCCTCATGGCCAGAGTTCCCTTTGCTGCAAGCCTCCCCTATTTTCCCTCTTCAGGGCCCCAGAGAGTAAGTCTACACTGCACCCTAAGCCCGGGCTCTGACACAGGTTTGAGGGTGAGCCATGCTTCCAGGCACACAGAAATCAGTCTGATTCAGGTCTGCAAGCACTCAGGACCTGGGTCCGGAAACCCTGCTAAGAGGGGTGGGTCAGAGCCTGAGTCCCACTGGGACTTGGTCCAAGCCCTGTCATTTTGCGGTGTGGACGCAGTTCAAGCTGCAGACCTGAGTCAGAAGATCTGTGTCGTGCAGTATGCATACATTAGCATGGTTGTGAGACCCAGGTCCAGAAATTGTATACCGAGGTTTACAGTGCAGTGTGAATGCTCAAGTGTGTTAAGAGGCAGAGTGAGGGCAGGGCCTTGGGAAGAGGGGGCAAAGTGGGGGCCAGAGGAGGCAGGGCAAAGGAGGGGCCTCAGGGAAGGGGCGGAGCGGGGAGGGCCTTGGAGCCCAGCGGAGTGGAGCACTAGGGTTGCCAACTTTCTAATCTCACAAAACCGAATACCCTAGCCCTGCCCCTTCCCCGAGGCCCTGTTCCCCGGCTCAGTACATTCCCCCTCCCTCAGTGACTTGCTCTCTCCCACCTGCACTCACTTTCACTGGGCTGGAGCAGGAGATTGGGGTGCAGGAGTGGGTGAGGGCTCTGGCTGGGGGTGCGGGCTCTGGGGTGGGGCTGGGGATGAGGGGTTTGGGGCGCAGGAGGGGGCTCCAGGCTGGGGGAACAGAGGGGTTCAGGGTGTGGGAGGAGGCTCTGGGCTGGGGCAGGGGGTGGGGTGTGTGTGGGGGGGTGAGGGCTCTAACTGGGGATGCGGGAGGGGGTGGCACCAGAAATGAGGGATTCAGGTGTGGGAGGGGGCTCCAGGCTGGGGCAGGCGGTTGTGGTGCGGGAGGGGGTGAGGGCTCTGGCTGGGGGTGCAGGTTCTGGGGTGGGGCAGGGGAAGAGGGGGTTGGGTTGCAGGAGGGGGCTCCAGGTTTGTGGGGGCTCAGGGCTAGGGTTGGGGCTTGGGGTTGGGGCACAGGCTTACCTTGGGTGGCTCCTGGTCAGCAGTGCTGGGGAGCTATGGCAAGTTCCCTTTCTGTCTGGCACTGTGCTTGCACCCCGGAAGAGGCCAGCAGGCCCGACTCCTAAGCGACGGTGCGGGAAACGGGAAACGGCTCTGCGCGCTGCTCTCACCCTCAGGCACTGCCCCTGCAGCTCCATTGGCCATGGTTCCCGGCCAATGGGAGTGCGGAGCTGGTGCTTGGGGTGGGGGCAGCAAGTGGAGCTCTGTGGCCCCCTCGCCTAGGAGCTGGACCTGCTAGCTGCGTCTGAGGCCCAGGGCGGATCCAGGGCAGGTAGCGACTAGCCTGCCTTAGCTCTGCACCACCGTCGACTGGGCTTTTAATGGCCCGGACGGCGGTGCTGGCTGGAGCTGCTAGGCACCCAGTCAAAAACCGGACATGTGGTCACCCTATGGAGCACCCACTGGGAAAAATAAAAGCCAGCACCTGTGTCTGTGCCCACCTAGTGTCTGAAACACAGATAGGCTTCAAGAAGTGATAGCATAGGTCTTTGTTCGCTGCTTTCGATCTCTATGTCATAGCATAGGTTAGAATTATGATAACAATAATTCATAATGAGTTTCCCTCTTACCAGTCTCAGCACAGAGCTGCAGGATGAAGTCTTTATGCCCAGAGCTGAGTACGTTCTGGGCCACACATCTGTAGTTCCCAATGTCGGATTGCTGTATGTTAATGAGGGTCAGGGATGCGTTGTCCTTAGACAGGATGGTGCGGTTTCCAATTGGCAAAGGCTGGTTGCATTTCTGCCACGAGTAAGATATGGCATTTCCTTCTGTCCCCAGGCAATTCAAGGTGATGTTTTTCCCCTGATGAGGAGCAGATGTCTGTCTGGTGATGTGCACATTCGACACAGGTACTGAAAAACCACAAGAGGAGCTGTCAAGTTATGGTGACCTCCAAACACAGAGTAATGGGGAAAGCAAGGGATTGTGGGTAACATTATGTACATTCCCGCAAAGCCTCACTGCTTTGCATAACAAATCTGCATTCTAGTCTCTACTTTAGAGCTGGGCAGAATACGTTTCATGAAAAGTTGTTCATCAGAAATGCTTTCACTGATGTTTTCAAAGCAAGAATTTCCCGTTTTCTGGTTCAAAATAATTTTTTATTTAGAAATTGAAGCAAATTAGACTGGGAAAGAGGTTTTTTTAAAATGTCAAATTCAAAACAAAACCTTTCAACTGGCCCAAAATGGAAACAAAAATCAGATTTGGGTTCATTAATATTTTTGAGATTTCAACTTTTCATCCCAATTCAAGATGGGGAAAAAAGGTGAACTTTTGAAAATATTCACAGGATGGGAAAAAGGTTTTCCAACCAGCTCTGGTTGTAGGTACATATCAATGATTTGAAAGTCTATTATCCATTAAGTTTAAATTTACAAGAAACTCAAACCTTTGACTATCTGGAAATCCCCAGTTTAGGCACCAAGCTACATTAACTCTGCCAATATAGAGACTATTTATTCCCTTTGCATGCAACGTATCAAAAACGTAAACATCACAAGGTAGATGGTCCCTGTGAGTAGAGCAGACCCAGTGCTCCTATGTCAGAGCAGGTGGGCCCAGCTGAGTGAATTAAAAGTGGGTGGGGCAACACCTGGCGCTATACTCCCCTTCCAGAGGGCAGGAAGGGGAGAAGTGCTTGGGACAGGCAGTGCCTGGGAGAGAGAAGCCACAGTGGAGTAGAACTAACTGCTGTGGTGGGTCCCTGGAGCAAGCATCCAGGTGCTCCAGAAAGAGCTGGCTGGAACTGGGAAACTGCAAAAAGCAGGATCACCAGAGACCCTGGGACAGGTGTCTGTGAAACCCAAAGACAAAGGGTGAGCTAAGGGACGGTTTCTCTTTGTTTAATTTGCTTTGTTTGGACAATAAACCTTCTTAAAGCGGACTGGGCATGCTTGGAAGGTGGGGAGAAGTCCTGCCCTATGACAGTGCACCACACAACTTTGGCTTATTAATCTGTTACATACAATCATGCCTCTGATATTAAGCATGATGGTTTGTCACATGTCATTCTTTGCCCTTTTCATCTAAGTGCTGCAGTTTCAGGATCTGGGCATGTGAGGTTTGTATATGGATACATGTTGTGTCTGTGGGTGATTATCTGCCTTGTGGAATTGGAGCCCAATGCTGTTTGTTGCTGAGTACCTTCTGCAAGGTGCTGTGTGCTCTTGGCGTTTTGTAGGATCAGGGAAAAGTGGTGTATGACTGCTTTTATTTTGCCATTTGCTTTTCAAGAAATCATACAATTATTTGAAGTGCACTGGGTTTGACTGTGAAGAAGGCTGAAAAGTGACCCAACCACTCTATGATTAAGATTAAGTCATTCTAGTTTTTTGTGGTCACTGATCAGATGATAATATTTGCCATGGATGGATACGATAGTATAGGTTTCTGATTGTCTCATGGTATTGCTATGGGAGCAGGGTTCAGGGGTTTTGGCTACATTAATACTGAATTTCTGTATTTTTTCTTGGTCTGTAGCTCTTCTATAAGCAGTTCATTGTGAGCATTCACTACTTGACATTCAAAATTTGACCCATTTTGATTGGACTGATATATGGTATGCACCTGTTCCAAGATTGGATGACCATAACTGTTAGAATTTTCTGGTGCAAATATTTGTGACCACAAATTCAGAATTCACTGTTCATGAAGGTTCCACAGGGTTGCTTTAGAATTCACTCTTTTAGAACATTCTCCACACACACACATTCTCTCTGAACAGGATTTGGCTTCTCCTTGCTTCCTAAAGAAAACCTTCTGATCTTTTTACATTTGGACGTGTTTTCTTTAAACCGTATCCTCCCTCCTCCCTACCCCATTTATACTGCATTGTCAAGCACCAGAGTCTTATAGACCTCAGTAACAGGCTGGGTTCAGGTATTCATTTTTGTACAGTATTCGTAGCAGCCCCTAGATGGCCTAGCCATGATCAGGGCCTCATTGTGCTTGCCATTATGCAAACACATAGTAAAGATGCTTCAAATAGACACAATAAACAAAGGGTGGGAAAGAGCAAGTATTAATATTATCCCCATTTTATATGTAGGAGAGGCAGGAATTGTCCTGAGTCCCAGTGCAGTGCCTTAACCACCACCCTTTGGTCTGTTGTTAGTCTCCATGGTCAATAAACTGGCTTTAAACAGAACCAGTTTATCAGCTCTCTGTACGTTCTCTTGCATACCTCCCTTTGCCCACTTCAGCCTTTTCTAATCAAATGAGGGCAGGTGTGTGCACTGGAAATTTGTCACTGTCTAATCAGTGGAGGTGGCTCATGCAACTTGGGCTGCCATGGATTTTACAAAAGGCCACTTACTGATCACTGTGACTCTTGACTTGTAGATCTGTTGCTGCCTGTCAAGCAGCTGGATGGTCAGTGTATAGACTCCTTCGTCACTGAAAGTCACACAATGAATCGTCAAGGAAAAGTTCGTATGAGAAAAGACAACTCTCTTCTTGTAACTTTCATTAATATAGATGTTCTTGGAGCTGGGTGAGTATGTTAGAATGGAGACCTCTTTGTTCCTGTTCAGCTGTGCACACCACTCCACGTTAAAGACCGAAGAAGCGTTCAGATTGGTCCCCATCAGCAGTAGTGTGGTGTTGAAGTGCCAATAGACTTCTTTAGTCTTTTGGTGCATCGTGACCTCTGAGGAGAAGAAGTCAAGCAGAACAGCATTAGTCGTGCTGGAAAGGTGGCCAGAAGTTAACTCACGTGTTGCTCAAAGAAGTCAGAAGCCGTGTTGGAAGGAGGAATATTATCAGTGCTCTGGGGTGCATTGGCAAGGACTACCCTCGCCTGGGCCTCCTTCCGAAATGGGGAACTCGATCATTAACCCAGAGCCCAATCACCTCATCGTTTTTATGTGCACAACTCCAGCTGAGTGTACACAACTGCCATGAAGGGTGGGACTCTGGAGTCAGAAGAGCAGCCAGCCCAGCGTTCATTCTGAGGTGCATAGGAAGAAAAGCAGGGAGTCAAAAATTTTGGAGCGTGACAGTGAAATGTTTGCTCCAGTGAAAAAATTGGGGGGATTTAAGAGGAAGCTCTTCTAAGCCCACCATCATGCTTTCCTTGCCCAGCAGGTTTGCTCGCCATTATGATCCAATGACTGCCACACTGTTGGGCTGAAGACCATGTTAGAGAAGGGGAAACTGTTTGAAATCACCTCATCCACCTGCTGAGCTATTCTAACCTTTGACAGCAAGATCTCGAGCAAGATACCGAAGCCACAGTGTGTCCCGATCTCATACTGATTCAGGTGTGTTTTCTTTTGCTGTAGCAAATCTAGGACCAGACATGTGACCAGCTCAGAAAGACAGATACCACGGTGAGATATGCCTTAGAAATAGCTAAGACAGATGGGGAAGAGCATGGAATGAGCGTCTCCTTTCCTAAAAGCACCTAATAAAGATATTTAGGTATGTTTTAAATGCCCAAGAATTAAAACTGACAGAAGAGAGAGCACCATATTTTCAGTGTCTGTGTAGCCCTGTCTAGACTGGAGTTTTTAATCCCTGCTGTAACTTGAGATAATTGGCTGCCATTTAACTCCACCTAATTAACGTGAATGTAAATGCAATGCAAATACTCCACATTGCTCTGGACACCAACATTTGTCCCTGGTTGTAGCTCAGCATTGAGTTCAACCGGATCTTGTTGCACTTGTGACAGTGCTGTGATTCCACCATGGAGTAATGGGAAAATATTCTCTCTGCAGTACTGTTGCTGACTGAGGAGGAACAACGCGAGAAGTGGCACAACTGCTTTTCAGCAGAGACATTTACAGAAGCTGTCACAAAATTAGGCAAGCCTTTCAACTGCTTTGCACATGACTTGCAGATCCCAAGTCAAAGCAGCTGCAGTAATTATAAATACGGAACAGAGGAAAGATCTGTGTCCAGATTCTCTGAATTAAACAGATGGAAATCAGTGCAGGCCCACAGTCCTAGACCCCACCCTGCTGCCCCCTTTCTCAGCACTCTGCTCCCCACTAGAAGCAGGAAAGAGCATCCCCTGTGCTCCATAGCAGCCATGCAAGAGGAAAAACTTGTTGAGCACCCTGTGCACAAGGGCCGCTCAGAGTCTAGCCATTGCTGCTTTTTGCCTGTATAGGATGTGCCTGCATGGCACTAAGTCCCCTAACTTGGTCACTCTGGAAGCTGTTTCAAGAAGCACATAACCCTACTCCTGTTCAAGTGACATGTGGCTTCACACCTCTTGTTTCCTTTTTGGCATCAACACCTCTTTTGCCTTTCCTCCTCTGCGTACCCAAGGCAATGGCCATTTTGCAACCTGTGTTTCTCAGAACTGATCTCACTTCCTGGCTCTGACAACAAGGGCCAACCTTTCAGACTCTGCAAAGGGCAAATGGTGGGCAAGTGGCTGTCAGCACCTCATGCACCAAGGAGTGGAGTTGATACTGTGCTGGGGCCAGAGCAATATACAAAGACAAGGGAAGGGAGACAAATGTCACATCATGCCCAGTGTTCCTAGGGCTTAGCATCTGAGAAGGTCTAGAACAGGGGTGGCCAAATCGTGGCTCACAAGCCGCATGCGGATCTTTTACAGATAAAGTGTGGCTCGCAGAACCCCACCCCCATTCTCCACCTACCAGACTGCAGGGACGGGGAACAGACCTCAGGACCTCTGCCTTGCAGCGGGGTGGTGGAGTAGGGGCTTCTGCCCAGCAGGGAGGGGTGTTTTGGGGCCACAGACCCATGGGGTGTGGCAGCCAGGGCTCGAGCCTTCAGCAAGAGCAGTGCTGAAGCGCCGAGCCCCGGTAGGTGTGCCCTGGCTCTCAAACTTTGGAAGATTGTTGGATGTGGCTCCTCCAGGGTCAGTAAGTTTGGCTCTCAAACTTTGGAAGATTGTTGGATGTGGCTCGGAGGGTCAGTAAGTTTGGCCACCCCTGGTATAGAATATGCCAACAATAGTTGGGTGCTGCTACTCCACTGACCCCCTGTGGGGAATTTTTATTTTTAGCACAGCTGTCAGTACAGGGTGAGACAAGGTGGGTGAGGTGATACCTTTTAGTGGGCCAACTTCTGTTGGTGAGAGAGATGAGCTTTTGAGATACACAGTAAAAGATATGACCTCACCCTCCTTGTTTCTCTAATATCCTGGGACTGACCAAGCTGCAACAACACGGCATAGTACAGTGTGATGCATTTTACAGCTGCTATTTCTCCTGGTATTACTCCTCAAATTACTCAGGTAAATGCAGCTAACAGCGAAGGCTCTGGGCCATCACAGAGCTTAAACCTTTCTCTAAAGGGCTGATCCTAGACAGTGCAAGCCAGTGGGAGCTTTGTCATTGGCTTCAGTGGGAGCACGATTGAGCCCTAAGTGCAGATGCAAAGAAGTGCACTGGAGTTCCTGGATCAGCCGCCCCTGGAGAGCTGAAAGCAGTTACCTGATCTCCCAGTTGGGAGGGCAAATCTTCTGCTTGTCCAAAGGCTCTGCACAACATGGGTAACAGCCATACAACTTTTCCCCACACTGAACTACCAAACTGCCTTTTGGACTTCACCAAAGGGTAGGAATGCCCAGATTTAAATAAAGGAATCAAAATGAGATCAAGAAAAGGCACATCTTATTTGCCAGAATTTTTATTTTGCTGCACTCACCCAACTCTGCTCCTAAATTGAGAAGTATGTTGCAGAGAGGAGACACAGTCTGACTTTCAGATCAAAGACACAGTGCATACAAGATAGTTAGCGTTAGACCCTAGACAGACAAGGAGACAACAGAATTTCTTTCCAGACATGCCAGTTCCTGTGACATAATCGTGAGTTTTGTGATATTGGGTGTTCTGAAAGCCCCAACTCCTGGTGTCGTGTGTATGAGAATCTGAGCTTAAAGTAAATTTCCAACCTTCATGGTTGCAGAGGAAAGCTAGAAAACACGCTCCCTATGGGATCAAAAGTGAGAAGACAAAAAGACTCCAAATTCGTTCTTTTACAAAAATCTCATGGTTTTGGGGGGACCTGGCTTATGAGTTTCAAATCTTTCGGGCTGGCAATACTGCAATGAGATGGTCCCCCCCCACATTGAACTTCCCTACATTCATCTATCACGTGATCATTCCCTGTTCTGTGGCCACACTGAGGGCTTCTGCTCCCAGGCTGTCGCTCAAGTTCATGGGGACTAAATTCACTGCAATTGTTTATTTAAGAATCTTTATTTTCAAGCATGAGCGAGGGAGAAGGCAGGGCACGCTGGACATGTCTTTGGGGTTTAAGAGCAGATGTCTTAAAAGAAATATCTATGCTGATTAGCAGCTAAATTGTGACTTTAACTACATGCCCATACAGGGGAAGTAAGAACCCTGCTTATGGGTCTAACTGGACATTGGACTGGGAGGAGTTTGTGGATGGGCAAAGGCCAGCGACATGACTTCCCTCACCCACTCACTGGCATAGGGGATATCATAATTTGTTGCTGGTATAGGAAAGCAGCAAACTACTGCATTTCCTTCCCCTTCCCCAGAAGCCAGGAGGAAGCAGGGATAGAACTGTGACTCAGAGGGGTGTCTTTGAGTCACAGTGCGTCCCGGGGCTTCTCCTAACTTGGCATTGCTTTCTCACTACCCTTTGTTCAGGGCTGCATCTAGGGTCACAGTCCAGCCCTGTGTGATCTGACTGACTGAAAGCGTTTAAGTTATTTCTGGTGCGTGGTTTCCTGGTATCTCCTCCGTCAGCGGATGGTGAGTTTCCTTGGGAAACAACTTTCTTTTAAATTTAAAAACTTTCTTCAAAGCTCTTATAGGGCTGGTGTGATGCTGGCTCACGGCAGAATCAGCCTTACTAAACCAGTCATTACTGCAGGACATGGGCACATCAGTAGATTCATGGAGAAAGCTCAATGGGCAATTTCCACTTGCTTGCCCACTTTTTCACTTGCTTCTTGAGTCTAATCTCTCCACTCCCATGTAGCTGCCCAGAGTTGTGGGGATGGGAGAGGGAGAAGCAGCCTCACATTTGCCTTTGTGTGATGAGGATGGAAGTGGGGAATGGAACCTGTGGATACAATCTGAGCTTCTTGGGACCAATGCAGTTGGGCCATAGGGAAAGCCAACTGAAGTCAGTAGAATGACTCCCATTGACTCGAGTGGACTTTGGATCAGGCCTCTCTCTGCACCTTGGGTGTCCAGTTTAACCATTTCCTGTTCCACAGTGATGAGTGTGGCATAACAGATCAGACAGACAGACATACTCCAACAAATAACCCAGCAACTGCTTTTCTAAAAGATCTGCTCAGTTCAAATAGGAATTAATTCAGAGAAGCCTTGGAATCTATTAATCATTCACACTAGAATTCGGGATACTTTTCTTTCTGTGAACATTCTGAGAATAAACCCTTCCTCATCCAGACTCACATGGAAGGGGGGTTTGTCATTTGTGCCCCAGCTGAACCCCACTGACTTCAGTGGGGCTCTAGGCATGCTCGAGTGTCCACATAGGTCCTGATCCTGCAAGTGGATGAAAGTTGATAAAAGGGTTTGTGAATAATTGTAAAACAGAGCAACAGGTTTTGTGTGCAAGAATATTAATATTGGGTTGGCTTCCCCCCCCCCCGCCACCTTGTATTCACCCAATTCTGTTCCACAATCTCTATTGACAAGGATGATGTATTTGATGCAGAGTGAATACAGCTTGACTTTCATAGCCCAGACGTAACTGGTGGTGATGGCAGGCAGAATACGCTTGCTTCTATTAATTTAATTTTTGGTGTATAAGAGTGCCCATCAGTACATTCTCCAGGCATGGAGTAATATGCAAAAACAAGAATTTGTTGAACAATAACAGCACGAAAGACATTTTTCTCTATCACACAACTGTAGACTAGTTCTGTCCTCAAAACATCCACACACACACACAACCTCATCAAGCTAACCTTGAAAACTAAGCCCATTTGATAAAGGGATTATTGCTGGATGGTTATTGTCACAAAAGTTGCTTTAACATCAGACACAGACATCACTTCACTTACCAGGAAGAAGGCAAGCAAGATAGAGCAGAAGAGCAAGCAGCATCTCATGCAGAGTTTCCCGGGGCATGTTCTTCCTGGAAAGTTACAGAAGAGCTAGAGCCTGAGATAAAAGGAGTGAGAAGTGTTGCTTTAATAAACATTTTTTACAGCAGTTTCCTTGGACAAATCTATCTTTGCATCTATCAGATAGAAAGGCTGGCCTCCTGGGTCCCAGCTGAGTGGTTTCAGTTTAAAACCTGGTTCTATCACAGATACTGTATGTAAACTTTGACAAATCACTTAATCTGTGAGATGCTCGTGTAATTAAAAAATGAATCATAATGCATATGCACAAGGGTGGGGTGGGGTGGGGTGGGGGGTGAATTCAGGTTGCACTGCCAACCTCAGTTCTTGTATTTCCTAATTTTCCACTGTGTGACTTTGCAAGCTTAGTGTCCTTTTCATATAGCTTTGGGATGGAATTTCTTACATTTTTAAAAACATTAAAAGTTGAAAAAACAAAAATGTTATTTAATCACATTGACTCCCCGTGTGATTCATCAGCCAGGTAGGGAACTTTAGTTCCATGGCATGGTACTTTACCACTTCAGCTAACAGAGTAACTGGTAGCAGTAAGAGGTTGTCATCTTCTATATAGACCTGCGACTACAGGGCGCTGAGCTGCGCGTTTTGTCAATGGGTTTCACAGCTATATTTGTTTGACAGCAAAGGAATGTTAAGATTCAGGTATAATGGGTTAAGTTCCAGGTTCTGGAGGGGAGTGTGCTTTAGTGGTGGCAAATCTTCTGTGCCTTCACCAGTCTGTCCCCTTCTGCTCCTATCCTCCCCCTCCCCCTCCCAACTCCTGCTGCATTCCCACTGCTCTCACCTGTGTCCCCAGCCCTTGACCATGTACCCCACCTCTGCTCCTATCCTCCCATCCCCAGCTCTCAACCCCTCTTGTTCCTATCCCCCTCCCATCTTCTATCCCGTCCTGCCCCCATCCCCCTAGCCCTTCATCTCTTCCCCCCTCTGCCCTTCTCCATTCCTCACCCCTCTGCGTCCCAGTCAGGATGCTTTCTCTTCCTCCTCCGTGGAACCAGCAATGGAACACTGAGCACACAGGAGAGACACACCCGGCCTTCAGCATCCCAGTCCAGTCCACTGAGCTTTACTGTAATGCTGCATATAAGCCTGACCCTGCTCCCACTGGAATCAATGGGGGTTTGTTGTGGATTCCACTGGGAACAGGAAAGGGCCCTGACTTTGCATTCCTTGCTGGCTTTCTCCTCCTAACACACCTCCAGAGGCAGGAAAAGGGGTTTTGCCTGTAATGTGTGGGACGCTGGCAGACCAGGTGCCAGCTCATGTCAGGACCTCTGGGCCTCATTGAACACTGCCATATGCATAGCTGGAAACCAGTCTGGCTCGCCTTGGTGTTAGCATTGTTAAAATAGATATTAGAATTATTATAAGACTGTGTTTAATGTTTAGACTTTATGAAATGCTTGTAGGATGTTGCATATATTAATCTTACTTGTGTGTATACTTTAAGGTAATATGTAAGTGTTTGCTTCTTAACTATAGATGGATTTGTTTAAACTGTAAAACCCTACAGTCAGAGACGTGTTACCAAGTGTGAAATGCTAGCTTACCAAGAAATATCGGCTCCTGCGCAGAAAAAACAGAACTACAGACACCAGAGAAGCCATTGTGGAACATCAGCGGACAAAGAACTTCGCAATTGCTTCTCCCAGACCTACAAAGAGGGGACTAGGATTACCAGGAATCTGGTTTTCAACCAGAATGACTGGTCGAAAAGGGATCCTGGTGGCTTCGGTCAGCACCGCTGGCTGAGCCGTTAAAAATCCAGTTGGCTCTGTGCGACTCCCAGGAAGCTGCCAGCATCTCCCTCTGGCTCATCGCACTTCATTGCACTGCGACCCCTTTCTAACAATAAAAATTACTTAATGACCCCAGGAGGGGGGACCTAAGACCACCCTAGCCCTACTGCCCGGGGGTGGGGTGGGCAAACCTGAAGCCCAAGGGCTTCAGCCCCCGGCAGGAGGCCTGTAACCTGAGTCCCAACGCCCAGGGCTGAAACCCTCAGGCAGTGGGGCTCAGGCTTTGGCTTCAGCTCTGACCCCCAGCAAGTCTAAGCCAGCCCTTGTGACCCTATTAAAATGAGGTTGTGACCTACAGTTTGAGAACTATGGGTGTACAGCATCATCTATCACACAGGCAGGCTTGTGGCCAGATAGAGTGCTAAAGGGGACTGTCTGTGACTCCGTGGTAAGGCTGCTATTGTGCTTTAGGAGTTCACACTTGATATGTGGTTGGTGAAATCTATTTATAGAACTCACACCCAGTTTGGGTTTTTTGCCCTGCTTCTTGATAGTCTGCCTGGAGGTTGGTGCTCATGCCTGTGAGCCACCATAGGCAGCCTGACAGTATGTATCAGCTCTAATTAAAGAATTTCCCCCATTAACTCAGTGTGTGGAGGGGAAGTTGGGGTTGCAAAGGACTGGGGCAGCTCCACTTCTGTCTTTCAGTTCTTCGTTTTAGAACACACATGATCTAGAACAAAAATGCCAGAAACCAGCTTTCCAGAATTCAGCTTCCTGGCCATTACAACCACTAAAGATCAAAGCAGCACACCACAGACTTTCATGGCCCGATCCTACAGTCCTCATTCAGGCAGGATTGGGCCCATAAAGGGTTAACAAATCAGAAGGAAAAATAAGCCCCAATGAACTCAGCCTTTCCATCTTGAAAACAATCAATATCAAAGTGTCAGCTAAGTGTAATGTCACATTTTCTGTTAAAAAGAGGGGGAAGCAGATTAGAGAAACAGAGGTTAACAGCCTTGCAGAAAGATAACCTTTAGAGACATGGCTGTTCCCCTTTCTTTATTAATCAGTATACACCTGTCTCCATGAAGAAAGAGATCACTATAACATATGGCACATACTGTAGCATGGAACACAATAATTCAGACAGAGAAATTCCTCTATAAAGGCTGGGCCTAAAAACTTTACCAACATGAGTAATCTTTACTCACCTGAGCAGTCATGGGTCTAAGGGCTTGGCTATCCAAGGACATTCAGGAAAATGAATTTGAATTAACTAAAGGTGTGGATTAGTGAAATTGCTGTGTGATTGCTCTTATTCAGAATTAAAGTGACCATCATTTTGTTTAGCTTAATTCACTTTGGAATTCATAACCTAAGTGTCGTAGGATAGAACCCTACTTTTGGCCCTGATCCTGCATTGGGCTCAATTAACATGGACCCTTGCAACCGGACAGAGTCCAGTTTACTTCAATAGGAAGTAGAGGTGCAAGGGTCCACACAAATGCTTCTTAATACAGGATCGGAGCCTTCGTTAGAAATGATCTGCATGCAGGAGGCATATGGAAGAGGACCGTTCAGCCTTGGAGGCAAAGTGAAATGTTAGCCCGATAAGCAGATGTATTTCAAAAGCAGTTTAAAAATAATGCAGTGCTCAAGACAGGCAGGAGTGGAAGAAGATAATATGATGTGAGGCAGAGAGTCGGAATAAAGGAAACAAAAGGTAAGAGTGAAAATACTAAAATGAACCTGAGTCCCTGGCAAAAGGCTGAGAAAAACCAGAATTGGGTACCATAGGGAGTACAACACAGAGCCCTCCCCACCTATTAGTCTTCAAGCAAAACTCTTACTGAAGCCAACGAGAGGTCTACTTTGAATGGATAGACCCCCACTAGAGCTTACAAACTACCAAATACCTGCTCCTAAAAGAAAAGAAATAAGCATCCTAAGTGATTGTTCTCTAATCACGGTGCAGTAGCAGAGCCTTCCAGGGGACTTAGATCCAATGTGCTGGGAGGATGGACACACTCATCGCTTAACACAGCTTTTCTTATTCTGCCCATATTCTGAGTGAAGACGAAATAAACTTTTACAAACACTAACCTTCCTTCCTCCCGCTCAGGACTGCGTGGACTCTGTGTTGGGTGACAGAGGAGAGTGGCAAGGGGGGTACGTGGAGGGAGGGGAAATGACACATCTACTTCCTGCCTCTGGAGGTGTCTCGCAGTATGAGCCATGATGCAAGACAAACAAAAGCCCCCACAGTGACATATGAGCAGCACCATTGTCTGCGGAAAAATGCAGAGAAAATGCTGATTAGTGAAATCAAAGGGTATGATTTACCTGCTATCAGAGGAGTGATTGCAGCTTGGGCTGGCAAATCCATGTTGGCTTTAATTGAGCTAGCATGGCTAAAAATAGCAGTGTGGATGATTTAGAATTCTCAACTCACTTTAATTCTCAGGGGGTTTCCTGGTTCTGCTTTCAAGCAGAGGGCTCTGTAGGGAAGTGTGAAATCTGGATTTTCAGTCTGCAGCCAGCCAGCCAGCCTCAAGTGGGATGGGGTGAGCTATGCCTTTCTATTTTAGGGAGCAGCCTGCTTTCTCTCTCTCTGGTTTTGGTTCTTGTGTGGCATCTTTCTGGACTGGAAGAAATAAAGTTGTCTTACATTGCAACCTTCCAGCTAGAGTGTTGTGTTTTTGCCTAACTTCTCTAAGTGTAGGCTAACCAAAGGCATTAGGGCACCTCGTATACAGAGAACACTGAAGACATAAAAAGAACTTGAACACAACTAAAATCTCTGTGACTAAGGCCTGGTCTGTACACTGTTTGTGTGGTTTAAATAGCTCACTAAGAGGTTTGTTTGTTTTTTAAACCAATATTGTTAAATGGGTCCAACCTGTAGTATGGAGACAGTTATATTGGTATAAAGAGGGGAATAAGCTATACTGGCATAAGCAGGTGTGATGGGATGTACAAACCCCACACTGGCCAGAAGAAGGGTAATGAGGGAGTCTGGGCCCAGTCACCCCACCCAGCTATACCTCCAGTGTCAGGTGTGGAGAGGGGAGTTAAAAGGAGAGAGCCTAACAAGTTGAGAGCTAACCAGGAAGGAGAGCAGATGCAGAGAAGCCTGGTTGCTAGCCAGGAACTGAGTCTCCATGCCAGCAAGGCAAGCCTCCCTGGGGATAGGGTATTTGAAGACAGGCTGTGATGGGATGAGATCCCCACACTAGCCCTGCAAGAGCAGAATTGGGCCAGGTGGGCCCAATCAGCTAATTAGGCTGCAAACAGGGGAGCTTTTGGCTGGAAGTGGCTAATTAGAGAGATTTCAGAGTAGCAGCTGTGTTAGTCTGTATCTGCAAAAAGAAAAGGAGTACTGTGGCACCTTAGAGACTAACAAATTTATTTGAGCATAAGCTTTTGGGAGCTACAGCTCACTTGTGCAGGAACAGGCAGGGCATGTAAATCCAGGAAGCTGGCTACAAGTTGGGGGAACTGGGAAAAGCTGCAAGAAGGCAGGCAGCAGTCTCTCCCTGGGAAGAGGGTTCTTGGAGCTGGTACACTCCAAGAAATAAGGGGAATCAGAGTGTAGAAGCAGTCCAGGGAAGGAGCAGTGAGGGCAGAGGGAGGAGTTCAGAACTGCTGAGCTGAGGGTCTCTAGGCTGGAACTCAGAGTACAGGGCGG